ATGCACTCACATGGAGCAGAAATTTTGAACCACTGGAATGCTGTGTAGGGAGATAAAATTTATTGAAAATGCACTGAAATTATTAATATAAGGCTCTAATGAAAACATTTTAATGAATAAAGATTTAAAAGAACTAAAGATGAAATTTATTATTTTATTAATATATTAATGTTATTCCTACAAAAAAAATAAAAAGGTTGTAATCGCCCTTAGAGGCAAAAGAAAAAGAACCTTTTTTTAATTCTAAAGGGCATGATTTACTTTTCTAAATGAAGCAAAAATATGAATTTTGTTAAACATAATGAGCATCAATGGCTTTGTAAAATGAATATTTGGGAGTAAGTCATATTATCATTAGATATCAGGGTTGAGGAAGTGGATGAAATTTTAATGATTCCTATTATACCTTCACTAAATTTAACTTACAAGTGGACATATGGGGTCGCTACTAATTATCTCATTTACTTCTCCCATAAAACAATAATTCACGCATATTGTTTTGAATGTTTAAATACATATTACAAACTTGAAAGTAAACAATTCAGAAAGTGAAAACATATAGGGACAGCGACATCAGCAAGATGGAATAATAGAAAATCCCTCACTTGTATATCTACCTTCAGCATCTAAAATTTGGCAGACATTCATTGGCCAAAGTGCATTATGACACATTTGGGAGCCAGGGAGAGTGCTGTGAATCCCTGCTAAACCCCCAAACCAGGAAAGGTTGATCTGAGAAAGCAGGCCCTCATCTACATAGCAAACTTGAGAATCCCTGTTCTTGGCTACAGACTAGGAATTGGCACACCAAACGTGGTCTGAGAATAGAATTCTGAAGCTACTCTTGTTCCAACTCCTCCCAGCCACATTATGGGAGTGGTCCCGCCCATCCAAAGACCACATTCATGGCCATAAAGGCAGGCTTGCAGACTTTGGTCCTTACTATGGTCTCTGAAGCAGTTCTGTGACTCAATATCAGCTCTCTTAGCCTCAGTCCTTGGCTAGCCTTGCCCACCAAGGGACACACAGTGACCTGAGGATACTCTCCACATACTCAGTGGGAGTCACATTCATGGATCCATACACCTGATATCAGGCCCATCCTATGCAGACCTAACTGCAAGTACCTGCCCTACAGATCAAAGTCATGAAGGCAATTCAGTCTGCCCCCAAATAAGAAAAGATTTACAAGGCCAGGTGCGGTGGCTCACGCCTGTAATCCTAGCACTCTGGGAGGCCGAGGCGGGCGGATTGCTCGAAGTCGGGAGTTCGAAACCAGCCTGACCAAGAGCAAGACCCTGTCTCTACTAAAAATAGAAAGAAATTAATTGGCCAAATAAAAATATATAGAAAAAATTAGCCAGGCATGGTGGCACATGCCTGTAGTCCCAGCTACTCAGGAGGCTGAGGCAGAAGGACCGCTTGAGCCCAGGAGTTTGAGGTTGCTGTGAGCTAGGCTGATGTCATGGTACTCTAGCCTGGGCAACAAAGCGAGACTCTGTCAAAAAAAAAAAAAAAAAAGATTTAGAACCGCCCAAGGCCCTGGTAACAAGCTCACCAAAGCTAGACCCCAATGAAGACCTGCAGTGACCAAGCTACAACTCCTCTCCACTGCAAACACAGAAGGGGTCCCATCAGCTTGGGGAACCAACAAGAAAAGATCTTTACCTGCTGAAGTCAGTTTATAAAAACTGCAGATACCAAGGCAAGGCCATATTCTACCTGCTTTCAATGCATATATTTTACCATAATACTGGAAATTCTAGGCACAACAATTTGGCAGGAAGATAAAACAACAAGCAAATTGAAAAGAAGTAAAAAAGTCACCATAGATCTAGACATAATGTTATACATAGAGAAACACGAATATTACACCAATACACGTTTAAATAAATGACCTCAGTAAATTAGCAGAATAAGAAATTAACCTAGAAACATGAGTTGTGCTTCCATACCCTAACAACAATCCGATAAAAAAGAAAACAATCTCATCTACAATATCATCAAAATAATAAATGTCTTAGGCACAAAAACCAAAAAGAAAGATCTTTATGCTGAAAAACAAAATAATATTGATGAAAAAGACACAAACAAACATACAAACATATCATGATTATGTATTGAAAGAATTAATATTATTAAAGTACCATATTATCCAAACCAACATATAGACTTAAGGTGATTTCTATAAAAATCCCAATGGCATTTTTCACAATAATAAAAACAAAAACAATTCTAAATTTATATGAATCTAGAGGAGACTAGTCAAAGTAATGTTGAGAAAGAAAAACAAAGCTGGGGACAGCATGCTTTCAGATGTTAAACTATTTTTCAAAAATATGGTTATAAAAACAGGATGCTAAGTGCATTAAAAACAGACACAAGAACCAACGGAACTGAAGAGAAAGCCTAGAAATAAACTGAAGCATATAAGGTCAACTAATCATTGACAGGGCAAGAAATTATGATCTTCTTAATACTTGATGCTAGAAAAACTGGATACCCACCAGTAAAAGAATGAAATTACACCATTTTTCTAACATCATACCTAAAAAGTAACTCAAAATAAAATACAAATGAAATACATGAATCCTTAAAAATCATAAAAGAAAACATGAAATATCTTCCTGATGTTGGCCTTGGTAAAGATTTTTTGGAATGTGACACAGAAAGTATAGCAAGAAGAGCAAATATAAATAAGTTAGACTGCATCTAACCAAAAAGCTTCTACAACAAAGAAAACAATAGGGAAAGTCACAAGATAGAAGAAAACATTTGCAAACCATATCTGATAAAAGCTTAATACCCATGATATATTAATACAAGAAACTCAAACAAGTTAAAGACAAAACCAATAATGATAATAACTGAAAAATAGAGAAAACACTAAATAGATGTTTTTCCACAAAATACACAAAATGGCCAACATTTATATAAAATGATGTTCAACATCACCAATCATCAGGCAAATGCAAATTAAAACATTACTATTACCTCACACCTCTTAGGATAATTCATATCAAAAAGAAGAGAGATAACAAGTTTACAAGGGCATGAAGAAAAAGAAATACAATAAACTGTTGTTGAGTTGTAAATTGGTAGAATCATTAGGAAAACCAGTAAGAAGGCTTTAAAAAAATTTTTTTTAAAAATAGAACCATAGGGGGGAAATGGGCATTTATTGAAACCTTAAAATCTATACCCCCATAATATGCTGAAATAAAAAAAAAAAAATAGAACCATAAAATCCAGCAATCCTACATCTCTGTGTATAAGCAAAGAAATAAAGTCATAATCAAAGAAATATCTGCACCCCTACAGCATGATTCACAATTGCCAAGATATGAAAACAACCTAGATGTTTGTGGGCACTGAATGGATAAAGGAAATATGGTATATATACACAATACCATATTGTTCACCCATAAAAAATAAAATCCGGCCACTTATACAACATGATAAACCTGGAGGACATTATGCTAAGTGAAATAAACTATGTACAGAAAGGCAAATACTTCATATTCTCACTTACATGGGAACTCTAAAAAGGTTGAACCCACAGAAGCAGTGAGCATGAAGGCTGTTGCCAGAGGCTGGACGTGGAAATAATGGGAAATGCTGTCCAAAGGGTACAGACTTTCAGTTACGTACGTTTTGAGGATTGAATATATAGCTTCATGCCTATAGATAATAATATATTGTTCTCTAAAATTTGCTAAGACAGTAGACCTTAAGTGTTTTCACTGCAAAAATATAAAGCTATGTGAGGTTATAAATGTATTCATCAAGTTGATTGTATTATTCATTTCACAATTTATACATATCAAATCATTACACTAAAAATCAATATGTACCGTGTGTGTGTGTGGCGAGAGAAAGAGAGAGAGAGAGGGAGGGAGGCAGGCTATCTGGAAAGTATCCAGCCTTTGTTAATAAAAAAAGAATGATGGGGGAGGGAGAGGAAGGGATGGGTATATACAACCACAACGAGTAAGATGTGCAACGTTTGGGGGATGGACACGCTTAAGGCCCTTACTTGAGGGAGGGGCATGGGCAATATATGTAACCTTAACACTTGTACCCCCATAATACGCTAAAATTAAAAAAAAATAAAGTTAAAAAAAAAAAGAATGGTTATATGGCTGGACATTTTCCAGACAACTCTCTCTCTCTCTGTCTCAATCTCTTTCTCTCACACACTCACACACACATCATACTTGGATATATATGAATGATACAGCCAGGGTAAGTTTCATAGTAAACAAGAGAAACTTATAAATTTTAAAAGTATAAGGTCACAACTATATGCTCAGCAATGTACTATAAGCCCTAATAACATAGTATACTTAAGAAATTTAGGAAGTGAGTAGATGCAATCAACTATATTAAAGGTGAGGAATATGAAAATATATAATTTATTAATCTCAATTCACACTAAAAAAATTCTGGAGTAAAATAATGTTGGTTTTTTTATATTTAGAGAGAATCATTGTTCTGATGAAACCACTGAGTATAAATTTCTGCAAAATAACAATGGAAACCTCCATATGATAGGAAATAACAGAGCAGAAAATGTACATTTGTCTCTGATTTTCCTGGGATTTCTGAAACAAATATCAATATCGTCACCACTGACACATTTCTGACACGATGCAAAAAAAGAACATAAAAATGGTTTAAAACAGAGTTCCTCAAAAATATGCTCAGATATTCTCATGTGTCCAAAAGCAAAGGAAGAGCACTCAGATCTTATAGTCCCTTATAAGCCATGAACTTTGGCTCTCTTGGCAAAATTGAAGAAAGATCACTGAGTAGAAAGAGAGACCTTAGAGAATTTTAGAGCATGGGACAGAAAATGCCCCTACATGAGAGTAAGAGAATGAAATCCAGGCTTTTCAGAAACCATTTCCACTGAACCAGAGCTTCCCAAACCATATTTTAAGGTTTGGCTTCTTGCGAGACCTCTGGGACTCTCATCTGCTTCATTCATTGCCACCTACCTGGGTGTTTGGCTACTTTCTCATGTCTGTTTACATTCCAGGGCTCTTGCCTTTGCTCCAGACAAATGATAAGATCCGGCTTAGAGGCAGCAAAACCTATTTTAGTAAAAAAAAAAAGTAATATAACTCTTGCTAGCATTCTCCAATTACCAATCTAGTACTGTGCTCAGTAGAGAAGACAAAATATTACAGAAGTTTCTAGAAAATTAAATTCAAAATATTGTTTCTTGACAGAACCATTAGAATATTTAGGAGGCATTTTAAATGTATGGGTCCTTAGCTCCAATATCCAGTACTACTGAATCAAACACTGGTGATAAAATTGAATTTTAAGGTCTGAGCAACAATGTTTTAAGCCACCAAACTGAACTGTCACTAGAGTGCAGAATATAGATCAGTTCAAGAAAGGGACAGCAGTTTCATGTCAAGATGACACCCTGAAAACTTTCTTTTTTATACAAGATATCCTTGAAAGCAGGGATCTAAAACTCATTCATGCGAAGCAGAAACTCCAAAAAACATTCCACAAAGAAAGAAAATGAAAACCTTAGGGTGTATTACGAATTCTAAAGTGAAGTTATCCTCACCCAGGGAGACCAGGTTACTGTAGTTCTCTAACATCACATCCCTATACAAATTCCGTTGAGCAGGATCCAGGCATGCCCACTCCTCCAGAGAGAATTCTATGGCCACATCCCTGAATGTCAACAGGCCCTGGAAAAAAATGTGTATTTACCAAGTAGCCATGTAGCTATTCTTGTAGCTATTACCATGTAGCTATTCTTAATTTGACTAAATGTGAAATGAGAGAGTGAAGTAAACTGGCTCTGACATGCATGAGTGACTATAATTATCTAATATTATTAATTACCTAATATTAATAATAATATTCTCTAAGGTATTCTCTAACTTGGAGGACAGAGAATGGCAAAAAGATCAACAAAACAAGTATAGATACTGTACTTTTCTGTATGATAACATATAAAATTAAGAGCATTGACACAGGCATATACATTTTTGAGTGGTCTATATATATCATACACAATAAGCTTTTTAAGTTTTTAATTAATTTTTTCAAGTTTTTTACATATACTTGGTAAATAAAACTTGCATATATTTATAATTTATAACATATTATTTTGATATATATTGAAATGATTACCATAATAAAGCTATTAATATATCCATCATTTTATATACTTACCTTTGTGTTAGAGTTGAGAACACTTGAATTTACACTTTTAGCAAAAGTCAAGTACACAATACATTATAAGCTTTATATGTTTCTCACATGGAAAAGCGATTAGGAGTGACAGGGATACTTCTAAAATTTTAATATGTACTACAGAGAACTGGCGATCCTGTTAAAATGCAGATTCTCACTCAGGAGATCTGGAGTGGGACCTGAGTTTCTGTATTTCTAACAAACTTCTCAGCAATGCAACCTCTTCTGGCCCCAAAACAATATTTTGTCAAACATACAGTAAGTGGAAGAGCCTGAGTTTTATCCTAATTTGTCTGACAAATAAACCAAGATGAAAAGCTTCATTTCCCAAATCAAGCTATAAGCAAAGAGAAACTAAAAGGAAACTTCCAGATTAAATGTGATGATTTATGTACATCAGCCAGTAAAATTCCCCAAGATACATATTAATGATAAATAAGAAAAATAATTAACTTTATAATTCAGGACTCTCTCAGAGAGCACCTAGCTAATTTCTCACTCTCACTCAAGCAGGTGTCAAACTCCTGACCTCAACAAATTGTCTTACCTTGGCCTCCCTAAGTGCTAGGATTACAGGCTTGCATCGCCATGCCCAGCCGTTAAGTGTGCATTTTAAAGTTGTATTTGGCATAGCGATGATGGGGCATCAAGATAGAACCTCAGCAGCACATATTTTCCTTCTTCACTGATAATCTGAGTACCCAACCCTATACTTAGAAATCTTGGGTATCTGCACCTTCTCATGTTGATCTGTCAAAAGGGAACACTTTCAACATTACAGGTCATAATTTCATGAGGAAAAATGTTCTTAGTATGTAAAAAGCGTGGATGGAGAGAATAGAGAGAAGCCTCTGATAAGTAGAAAATAAGGATTTTAAAGAGCCCCCTAAAAACCATAAGAAGGGAAAAAAAAAATATTTGAGGCCGGGCGCGGTGGCTCACGCCTGTAATCCTAGCTCTTGGGAGGCCGAGGCGGGCGGATTGCTCAAGGTCAGGAGTTCAAAACCAGCCTGAGCAAGAGCGAGACCCTGTCTCTACTATAAATAGAAAGAAATTAATTGGCCAACTGATATATATATAAAAAATTAGCCGGGCATGGTGGCGCATGCCTGTAGTCCCAGCTACTTGGGAGACTGAGGCAGAAGGATCGCTCGAGCCCAGGAGTTTGAGGTTGCTGTGAGCTAGGCTGACGCCACGGCACTCACTCTAGCCTGGGCAACAAAGCAAGACTCTGTCTCAAAAAAAAAAAAAAAAAAAAAAAAAAAAAAAAAAATATTTGAGATGATGCTGTGAGGCAGAAGCCTCAGAATTAGAGAAAAAAACAGTTAGCAAGTCCTAAATATATGACATTCTAGGAGTAAAAGTGGACACAGCCCCTGAACTGGTTGGCTCTTACCTGAGAACCAGCCATTTCTTCCTCGTCCTGCTTCTCTAGGATTCCTTTCCAGGTGAGAGTATCTGGACAAATCACAGGTGCATCTTGAGAATATGCATTTTAAGGCATCAGAAAAACCCCCTTTTTTGCTACCATGAAACCTACAGGCAAAAGAAACATGAAGTAATCAAATAACCCTATTAAAAAGTGGGCAAAGGACTTGAACAGAAACTTTACTAAAGAAGACAGAAGAATGGCCAACAAACATATGAAAAAATGCTCAACATCTCTAATCATCAGGGAAATGCAAATCAAAACCACAATGAGATATCACTTAACTCCAGTGAGAATGGCCTTTATCAAAAAGTCTCCAAACAAGAAATGCTGGCGTGGATGTGGAGAGAGAGGAACACTCCTACACTGCTGGTGGGACTGCAAACTAGTTCAACCTCTGTGGAAAGCAATATGGAGATACCTTAAAGCGATATAAGTGAATCTACCATTTGATCCAGCAATCCCATTGCTGGGCATCTACCCAAATGATCCAATGACACTCTACAAAAAAGACACCTGCACTCGAATGTTTATAGCAGCACAATTCATAATTGCAAGGCTGTGGAAACAGCCCAAGTACCCATCAATCCAAGAATGGATTAATAAAATGTGGTATATGTATACCATGGAGTACTATTTAGCTCTAAGAAACAACGGTGATATAGCACATCTTATATTTTCGTGGTTAGAGCTGGAACCCATACTATTAAGTGAAGTATCCCAAGAATGGAAAAACAAGCACCACATATACTCACCAGCAAATTGGTATTAACTGAGCAGCACCTAAGTGGTCACATAGGTACTACAGTAATAGGGTATTGGGGAGGGGGGCGGGTATATACATACATAATGAGTGAGATGTGCACCATCTGGGGGATAGTCATGCTGGAGACTCAGACTTGTGGGGGGAGGGGAGGAATGGGCATTTATTGAAACCTGTACCCCCATAATATGCCGAAATAAAAAAAAAAAAGAAACATGAAGTACAGAAAAGGCCACACTCATCTGTACTTTGTCACAGTAGAGATTCTGTAACAATTAGCTCCTACATAAAGATGAAAATGTGAGTTTCTCCTTTCCTGGCCTCAGGTGTCCTCCCCTGCCATAGGCACCAGCAATTTCTGCTGCAGCAATGGGAATATGGGCCACATTGACCCACTCCCACCAAACCCAATCAGAACAGGCACTGTGACCTCCCTTTGAGGATAAAGGCTACAATGAACAGATCTGGAAGCCCACATGCTTGACCCTGGCCTACCCTTAGAATCACTTAAGGGACTTAATTAAAACTACATGATGCTCTCACCCAGACCAATCGACAGAAGCTGCAGGGAGGGCACAGGTGATGGTATGTCTTCAAAATGGTCATGGGATTATAATTGGAAGCCTGGGCTAAGAGCCACTTAGCTGAACACTGCCTCTCAAATTTCAATGTAAACCACCAACTTGTTTTCAAGTTGGTTTCAAATGCTTTCAATAGAAAGCATCTGGTATCCAGGGATCAGCCTAATTAATATGATTCTACAGATAGAAAAGGAGTCTATGTATTGGCTTCATAAACAAGTTCCCTGTGAATGCTGATGCTGCTTCCCCAGATCTGATATCTGTAGCACTCAGCTAGAAACGCAGGCACAGCACAGAGTCCCCTCCACTTGACACTCTTATAACAACATAAATAATTCTGGTCAAAGAGAAGACCACAAATCACCATCAAGAAACAACATTTTCTGTCGTCCCTTTAAAGATTACAGAGGCCGGAAAGGCAACTATATCTGAAGAAGTCATTTGGAAACAACATGTGCACATGCCTTAATGCAATTTTCACTGATGATGTACTTTGTGCTCACAAGTATGCTAGAGTGCACTGTGCTGAGATCCTCAAATTGTGGCAGTTAATCCATATAATTCCCTGGGAATCAGGTACTAATTGTCCCATAATTCATATTAGGATCCAGATATTGGGCACAGATTTAAAATTTTTCTTCTGTTTCTTTGTCACTGATGAAATAAAAACTATACAGAGTAAAAGACATAAATGGATGGGAGATACGTGGAAAGGAAGGGTGGAAAAGTAATATGAAGGGATTTTTCATTATTGTGTTTATATTTATTTTCTTGTAACTTATGGAACCTCTACTGGATATGATGGAATGGAAAATAAGTTGGTGGTTTAAATGTCTCTAGAAGCACAGATTTTTAAACAAAGATAAAAATTAAGGCAGCAAAATAACCAATCTTTTGCACCCATTTATCCACTTTTGGCTTTAAGGAAATTGTTAGTTCCAGCTCTGGACAGACAGCAGAGCAGCCACCCCAAACTCTGATCTCCTCTAATCAGTTCTGTGATGGGAGGTTCCAGGGTGGGGACAGACCCGGACAAGGCTTAGAAGAGGTTGGATCTGGGCATGGCTGTGGCATGGAGCAGGCCTAAGGCTCTGATCTCTATGCTGCTGGTTTATTTGTTTTTTTTGTCTTTTCTAAACTTGGTCAACATAAATTCTACTTCCAGAGTTTGTATGTTTTTAATTATTTAAGGTACACTCTTGTCTATTTCATAGCATAACAAGCAATTTAACATAAAGCATCAGAATTTTCTAGGACAATTACATCAAATGCTAAATATTTATTCCAAACACAGTAAAACATTAGAAATAACAACAAAAATTCTTCTTGCCATGTATAGTGACATCAGAATTCACAGAAACAACATAGGAAAGTGGTTCAAATGGAGCCAAAGTTCTCCATATATCTCCAATTCTTTGTACTGACTACGTAATGCTGAATTTAATGATTTATCCATTTGCTCTAAACTGAAAGTATCTAGACAGTAGAAACCATGTGCTTCATCACTGTTTTTCTCATGGTCACTTGAAATTTTTGAAGCCAGTTGGTTTACCTATCAGTCTAAGTCTCTAAACCTTTTTTTCTTCACTTAAGTACAGGAAACTGGAGAAATTCTCATCTAGGGACCATCCAAGATTTTTTTTGGGAATGGAGAAAAAAAGTCCTGGATAATGCAGTCTTCTCCCTCTGAGATGGAAGGAGGTTTAGACCTTGTTGTTAGCCTAACTCCAGTCTGCACAGGTCATCCCCAATGTCTAAAACACTCCTGGATGCTGCTGAGATATCCCCATTGAGCCTGGGCTTATGTTTACAAGGTGATGCAGGAGAAGAGACTCAGGTTGACTCTCTGGGGTCAGGATAGAGAATAAACCTGCTTTGGTGAAGCAGCCAACTATGGATAGAGGTGTGGTATCGCCTGTTCATGATCAGCTAACTCTAGGGTTAAGAGGAAGGAGAAGAACACCCTACTCGAGTAACACAGTGTACAGGCAGGGGTCGTTTTCATCATGGATATTTTGTGGTCCTCATCTTTCGATGTTAATTGATCTTCTCCCTTCTTATTTTGAATTAAGGAAGGGTGGTGTCCCTGGAAGTGTTGGGTTAAATGCTGATGACTTTTTTCACTTATCGATTATGTACTGACCACTGGGAGCCATTTACAGAGCTAAAGCAAGTCACAGGACAAGATCTGGAAAATTCTAGGGCTCTACCTGGAGAGGCATTTCAGGTTTATAAAGTCCATATAGGGCTCTTATGCTGCAGAAAATGTATTCCCTGGGGACATTTTTGTACATCACAGCCTGAAGTCTGGCCCTGTGTTGTAAATCCCAGGTGGAGGCCAAGTCTTGTGTGTACATTCAAGGAGGAATTATACTTGCTCTGAATTCCTGGGATTTACAAAGCCAGAAGGGAAACTAGACAAGAGATCTAATCATGCAGCCTGCTCTACATCAGGATCTGGGATCCTGCAGAACCCCAGATCTTGGATTCAGAATTTTAATCTACAGATTTAGGCGCCTAGAGAGGTGGGAAAGTAGCAGCACCTGCTGCACGTTTCCTGGCATTTGAGCAGGAAGACCCAGCAGACCTGGAGATTCACAGGCCAATGTGGTGTGCATGCATCCATCTGGGTGTGCATCAGACCCCATGGTCTCAAAAACAGTTTCAGGTCTGAAGACACAGGACTGAAAGACAGGACTGGGACTGCTGATTATAACCCTGTGGGAGTATTTTTGTAAAAATTTGGTCTAACTGTGCTCTAGAAGGGACTGTACTTCATAAATAGTCAAACAGGCCAGAAAGGTTCTGTTTTTAAAAATTATAAATGGTGGCTGGATGCAGTGGCTCACATCTGTCATCCTACCAGTTTTGGAGGCTAAAGCAAAAGGATAGCTTGAGGCCAGGAATTCAAGACCAGCCTGGCCAACATAGTGACAGCTTTTCTCTAAAAAAAATTTGGGCATGGTAGCACACACCTGTAATCCTAGCTATTCCAGAGGCTGAGCTGGGAGGATTGCTTGAGCCCAGGAATTTGAGGTTGCAGTGAGCTGTGATCATGCCACTGTACTCTAACTTGGGTGACAGAGTGAAACTCTGTGAAAGAAAAGAAAGAAAGAAAGAGAGGAAGAAAGGAAGAAAGAAAGAAGTATTAGTATGGGACTAACAGTTAAAATTGCATGTTTCAACTAGGTGTGGTAGTTTAGTTTACACCTATAATGCTACACATTTTGGAGGCTGAGACTGGAGGATTGCTTGAGCCCAGGAGTTTGAGACCAGCCTGGGCAACAGAGCCAGATTCTGTCTCTAAAAAATAATAAAAATTAACCAGGCATGATGGCATGCACCTGCCACCTTAGCCACTCAGGAGGCTGAGCCTGGAGGATCACTTGAGCCCAGGAGTTTGAGGCTGCAGTGAGCAATGATTATACCACTGTTCAGGTGACAGAATGAAACCCTGTTTCAAAAATATTGCTTATTTCAGAGGACTTCAATATGAATTAAGATTACAAAGAGTCAAAAAAATCTTACTAACATATGGAAACTAAACCTAGAGATAAGAAGAGAAAAAATTTCTACATACCAAGTATATAAAGAAAATAACATGTGTTTTGTGGTGAAAATGGTTATAAAAAAAGACATAAAGATGCTGGTTTTTCCTAAAAAAAGTAAGTTTACCTAGTTTACAGTTTATTTCAATGTTGCATTAAATTAAAAGAATAAAAGAAAAATGAGATAAAATGAATATAGAAGACTGGAGAAAGAG